AATCTTTTCGTAGGGGTTAACCCAGATATTTCGAAAAAAAATTGGAAAATAAAATAATTTTTTTAATGCATATTTGTATCATTCACTGACATAGTATGAAGGTTAAATAGGTTTGAGACCTTAGGTGTTCATGTTTCTCCAAAAAAATAGAATTTTATTTATAGGGGGTTTGTCCACTGATTAAGTGGTAGAAAATTTAAATAAATTACATTTTTGAAAATTAGAAATGATGTCAATGTACTAAGGTAATAAGCTTATCATACATTAATATAAGTTTTGATTGTGGTTAGGTATTTTTTTAATAGCACGAGAGAGGCTAAACTTTAGTATATATAGCATTTATTGGAAAACTCAATTTTTTCGTAGGGGTTAACCGACATATTTCAAGAAAAATTGGAAAATATGAAAATTTTGGTTTAATGCATATTTGCATCATTCACTGACATAGTATGAAGGTTAAATAGGTTTGAGACCTTAGGTGTTCATGTTTCTCCAAAAAAATAGAATTTATTTTATAGGGGGTTTGTCCACTGATTAAGTGGTATGATATTTAAATAAATTACATGTTAGAAAATTAGAAATGATGTCCATGTACTAGGTAAATAAGCTTATCATACATTAATATAAGTTTTGAGTGTGGTTANATAGTATGAAGGTTAAATAGGTTTGAGACCTTAGGTGTTCATGTTTCTCCAAAAAAATAGAATTTATTTTATAGGGGGTTTGTCCACTGATTAAGTGGTATGATATTTAAATAAATTACATGTTAGAAAATTAGAAATGATGTCCATGTACTAGGTAAATAAGCTTATCATACATTAATATAAGTTTTGAGTGTGGTTAGGTATTTTTTTTAATAGCATGAAAGAGGCTAAATTTTCGTATATATAGTATTTATTGAAAACCTCAATCTTTCGTAGGGGTTAACCCACATTCGGAAAAATTAGAAAATATGAAAATTTTGTTTTAATGCATATTTGCATCATTCACTGACATAGTATGAAGGTTAAAGAGGTTTGAGACCTTAGGTTTTTATGTTTCTCCAAACAATAGAATTTATTTTATAGGGGGTTTTTCCACTGATTAAGTGGTATGATATTTAAATAAATTACATGTTGGAAAATTATAAATGATGTCCATGTACTAGGTAAATAAGCTTATCATACATTAATATAAGTTTTGAATGTGGTTATGTATTTTTTTAATAGCATGAAAGAGGCTAAACTTTAGTATATATAGCATTTATTGGAAAACTCAATCTTTCCATAGGGTAACACCCACATATTTCGAAATTTTTTGGAAAATATGATAATATTGTTTTAATGCATATTTGTATCATTCACTTACATAGTACGAAGGTTAAATAGGTTTGAGACCTTAGGTGTTCATGTTTCTCCAAAAAATAGAATTTTATTTATAGGGGGTTTGTCCACTGATTAAGTGGTAGAAAATTTAAATAAATTACATTTTGAAAATTAGAAATGATGTCCATGTATTAGGTAAATAAGCTTATCATACATTAATATAAGTTTTGAGTGTGGTTAGGTATTTTTTTAATAGCATGAAAGAGGCTAAACTTTCGTATATATAGTATTTATTGAAAACCTCAATCTTTCGTAAAGGTTAACCCACATATTTCGAAAAAATTAGAAAATATGAAAATTTTGTTTTAATGCATATTTGCATCATTCACTGACATATTATGAAGGTTAAAGAGGTTTGAGACCTTAGGTTTTTATGTTTCTCCAAAAAATAGAATTTATTTTATAGGGGTGGGCACTTTATCCGATACCCGAACTCGTATCCGAACCCGACCCGAAATATCCAAACCGAAATCCGAACCGAAGTAGCAAAATACCCGAACGGGTATTGAGTTAGGAGAGTTTGGATATCCGAACCCGAACGAGTATTACCCGAACCCGAATGGGTATCCGAAGATAACCGAACATATGTATATATACCTATTTATTCCTAGTTTATTTGTCTCATTTTATTAAAACTATTTCTATTAATGATATATATAATTTAAGATCAGATAATATATATATATATAATTGTAGAAAAATAAATTTGTTACTCATTTAAAATGCATATTAAGCTTCTTATTTCCTATTTTAAACAAAATTTGCATCCAAAATTCAAAAATAACAACCAAATTAGTGATTTTTATTTTCGATAATTTATTTTCAAACTTATTAATCGTCTAACTTATAAACATTTTAAAAACAGTTAAGTTAATAGTTAAATTTTAAATACATGAAACTTAAGTAATATAGAATTTGAAATTTTCTTTCAAAATCTAAATATCTGAACCCGACCCGAAATAACCGAATCCGAACTAAAAATATCCGAACCCGACCCGATATGTAAAAATACCCGAACGGGTTCTATACCCCAATACTGAAATACCCGAAAACCCGAAACACCCGACCCGAACCCGAACGGGTACCCGAACGCCCACCCCTATTCAGAACAAATAAATGACATGTATCATCTTTACTTTAGTGGCACAGACAATAAGATTTGTGGAAAGGTATCAAATTGTGTTCTCGGTAGAACCACCTCTTTTTCTCTCAATTAATATAATGAGTTTCAAATGACAATAAAAAATTTACGTTTGTTGGAATTAACTTTTATATGTTTGTGTTCATATTCTTAATTATGGAAATTATACTTCATCTGTTTCATTATAATTCTTATTTTAGATTTATTCATAGATATTGAAAAAAGAAAATTTGTACATTTCCTAAATGAAAACATCATTATCTATATAACTATCAGTATTTCAGTTAATAACCAATAAAAATAGGCTGAAAACATAAAGAATCATCAATACTATTAAAAGATAAGAAATCTTAAAAAATCTAGTTATGCAACGTTGTTGGACCTATTCATTTTTAATTTAATTTGTTATATCCAACAAAAATTCATATAATTATCCTATATCAACATTCACGGATTCATATTCCTTAACATTCGTCGGTTTATATCAACCAAAAATTAAAGAAAATAGACGGTGACTTTTATCAAACCAAGCTTTATTAATCATTTCGATCAAACGAACATTTTATACTTAGAGATCAAATGATTTTTATCACATCACCACTTTTATCAAACCAATACGATTAATATCCCATACATTTTTTTTATCAAATGAGATCGAATGTTATGATACATAGGGGTCATGTATCCACCATATCTGTCTAATCCTCCTCTATTAGAGCCTCAAATTCTATACAGAGATGCATCAGTATCATGTTTAATATATAAAAAGTACTGGTAGAACATTTAATATTTCCTACACACATTTATCAAATGATATCAAATAAGATGTATCATGCGTAAAGCAATCGTCTTATATTTCATCCTCTTCCATTAGAGCATCAAGTTCTTAACAGAAATGCATCAGTTTCCAGTTTGTATAATACACAATTATGAAAACAATTGATGCTGATATTATGCTGATTTAGATACTATTTCATTAAATTTACATGATTAAAACTAAAACCAAATCTAATATTATAGATACTAAAATATGTATCAGTTATTTATATATAATTTAGCGAGTTTTTGAGTGTATTATAACCAAAAATAAATAATTTCTCTTTTCCTAAAATATTCATATCTTAGTAAACTTACACAAGTATTGTCAAAATTTTATAGAAAACGTAATCTATTTTTTCTTAAATAACCTATTAGTAACAGCCAAAATGTTTTAAAATCTATACCTTAATTTCGATGACCTATAACACCCCACCCCTAATTTTATAAATATACTTTCATTCCTAATAATTTGTGGTAATTTTCAAATCAATTATGAATAATCAAAACTTTAAATGTATTACATGGGTCAACCAGTGCTAGATGACGGGTTAAAAACAGATTTTGAATTTTTTACCAAGTTTTATTGGGATTTTAAATAGTGGTGGTCAAGTTAAATCCAAACCAGATTATATACATTTTAATAGATTTAGCGGTTCAGCCGTAAATCTAGGTTGGATATAAAAAATAGCAAACACAATTATAAGGGGGGGGGGGTGTATTGAATTGTGGATTTCAAAGGTTTGAGTGGATTTGAGAGAAAATGGAGTTCTAAGAGATTTGGACTAAATCTCACTTCATATGGGTAGGATTTGGAATAGGAAAAAATGATTTGGGTGGGATTTTAATTTTCTTAAATTTCATAGTACTTTAGATCATTTGATATTAGTATTCTACTTTGTTCAATTATTTAAGAACGTGGAGTACTTTAGATCATGTACGTATGTTCCATTTTCAAAAATATCATCCTACTAGAGACTACTAAAAATATCATATATAAACGTTTAACGATTTTTCAAACTACAGACTAAAGACCTGAGATTTACAAATCCACGGAAAAAAACTATACTATAAACGTTAACAACATCAGAAGAGATGGTCATGTCTGTTCTCCTTTCTCTTCTTCAGTTGAATGACTGTTAACACCAGACATAAGTTCTGAAGCATAGTGACAGAGTGGAGTTAACAAGAGTTTGCTTTGCTTCCTCTTCTCTTCTTGGTGGTTGAATTTCTTCTCAACATTCTGTTCTGCCTCCATTGGTTGAGTTTTCTTTGTCAGGCTTGAAGCACAAATATGACTTTTCACAACTCTTCCTGCTATACTCGACCATATATTACTAAGAATGCTCTTGGACTGTCCTTTCACCGCAGTGTTTTCTCATAGCCGAGGGAGGCCCATTCTTATCTGGCTGGAATCAAAACATCAACCAATGTGATTTTAGGTCTTTCCAAATAACAAGTATAGAGCTGTGAGTTTTGTTACGATAGTTTTCACTAAAAATGATTAAAATTTTGTTTCAATCCTATTCATAGTTTTTTTTTTTTCAAAATTGTTTGTCTTTCAATAACAGTGAATTTGATTAAGTTTTTACAAATTGTTAGTTGAATAACAGTGAATTGATTTATGGTGACTTTAGACAAATGTCATATTCAATAACAGAGGATTTGGAAAAAAAATTAGAAATCATCAGTTGAATAACATGGGGTTTTAAAACAAAACCAAAACACTTTAAAATCCACAATTCAGTACACCCCTCTGATTATAAAAGAAAACAATTCATTTGATTTCCACCAGTAGTGATACATCTTCATACATTAGCAAATGAAGAAGATCAATTACATCATTTCTCACCATAAGCACCAAGAACATGAAAAAGATTCAGCCAAAACTATATAACTACAAAGCTCTACACTTCCCCTGTAGCCACTTCAACCGTTTATCATACTTCAAAGAGATGAAAATCTCTCGTGAACTAGCATTCTCAAACAAATCCAAGGCAAGAAAATACGTAGGTTGATCAACACCTTGTAAGTCATCAAGCGCTCTGATGCATTTACTGATTGAGAATCTGTCTACATTGTTACTCAAAGCAGCAGCTCTCATTTTGGAAGCTGCTGCGATTTCAAGCATGGCTTCAACTATGGCATCACCACAAGCCTTGCGACTTCTCTTGCGGGCTGGTCCAGAGGCTGCAGCAGAAGAAGGTGTTGTTGCTGCAGGGATACGCTTGTTGTGTTGTCCATCGATGTTGTTTAGTTCGTCTCCAGAGCCATATGAAGGTTCTTCATCATCACCAGACATGCTTTAACATGCAAAAACACATAACAAAGAAACAAGCTTTCACGCTACTTTTAAATCTTAATCAATTACAAGACCTAGCTAAAGCATCTCAGTTTTGAACAAGAAGAAGCTTAGAGATTGAGAAAATTAGGGTTCTAATAAAACTTGAAGATTGACACAAACTTTCGAAATCGACATTAAGACAAAACTTACAATAAAAGACGAAGACAGTACGAGGAGGATCGAAGAAGCTTTGTTGCCTGTTCGGTCGGAAGAATTAGAGAGAACAACAAAGAAGAAGAATTTGCTCGTCCCTCCCTTAGTTTTGTTTCCTTTTTATGTTTCACTTAAATCTTTCAACAATATATGTTTTTGACGTCAAATTTTGTGGGAAATCAAATTAACCCTGATTTTCAATAAATAAAGTGAAATGTAAGCTTTTTAATATTTCGACTTGAGATAATTAATTAAGCTAATCAAGAATTCAAGATTCACAATATAAAGAAAAAAAATCCAAATGGATTGATTATCTTTATTACAAAGTTAACTACTAAATCATTTGACTTAAAAGTCTACAAAAGAAAGAAAAAAACAGGAAGAAGAACACAATACAACTCAAAGGAACCATTATCTCTTAACAATAGAAAGATCAAACAAAGACAGACACATTAACGTTTTTGTAATTTGAATTTGGAAATAGGCAAACCATGAAAGCTTTATTTAATTGGGAGCCAAGAAATGAACGCGAGCAAGTGTGTACTCTTTGCCAGCAATCCAAACACCAGTCTGTGACCATTGTACATCTTCCCAATCAAGATTATCCTCCAACACCTGTTTTCAATCCCAAAAACATTATTCAACTGTTTATAATAAAGAATTTTCCATAATAAGAGTAGAAATTAAAAGTTATGGTAACCTCGACATGATCTGGTGGGAGTGGAAACCCAATAGACCGCATAAGCTTCTGCGGGAGAGGTTTCTTACATCGTGACCAACGGAAAACATCTATTATACTGTTGTCTGATTCTGTTTTGTCACCGTTTGAAGGAAGATGGTTCTGTGACTTGTTGTTATCGATCTCCATAGCTTCTTGTGATGAGTGTTGTTGTTGTGCGGCTTGGAATGCTTTCATAGTCTTCTCTCCCGCAAAACAGAGCTCGTACCTACTTGCATATTCAAAGGTTAGATTCAGCATCTAATAGCTCACTAATGTCGATAAAAACATATGACTTTGAAATACCTGCATGAATGTGTTTCAAGGTACAAAACTTCTCCTTTCTTCAAACGGGCAGAGGTGAAAAGAGGCTTCTTGAGACCCTTGTCGGCTACAATGCTTATGCTATACTTGATCCTGCAAGAAAAGTAAATCCATGTGAGTAAAGCTGATATTGCGTCTTATTCCTTTTAGGTGATAAAGATCTTTGGAGCTTACCAAGGTTCATTGCAGAGGTTGTACTGTATTGTTACTTCTCGAACAAACCTTTGTTGTCGCAGAGCATTCTACAAAAACGATAAACATGTCATTAGTGCTTGAAAGATGTGAAATATGAGCAAACTATGCGAGCCCATATGCCATCTGTTATAATCCAACAGTGTTAGAAGATTGCACCAGATGCTTGCAGTCAAAAATATCAAATAGTGTTTGAAACATGAAGTAAAGTACCGAAGCTGCAGCTCTGGTGGTCATAGATCTTTCAACAGCCATTGGTGCAAGTGTTGGCTCAACAGTTGAGGAGTGGGTAAGAGAGGGTTCGAGTTCAATAGTACCACCTCCTTTCTGAAATCATAACATCAGAAACTCCATAAGTAATCCTACACTTATTCACTTATTAAACTGGATATTATGCACAAACTGGGAAACAAAGATGACAAAAACGAACAGATGTAAAATTACCTTCAGTATATAGCAACGCTCAACTCTGTAACTGCATCCGATTCCAGCTCCCCATGCTCGAGAGCGGACATTGTTCCTCAGCTTGGAGGTGTAGTCTAACAATTAAAAAGTTTGTTTAAATTTCTCAACATGGTAAAGGTCAGTAACAAGGGAAGTAGATAGAGGAGAGATAACTAACATTCTTGTGACGGCAAGACTCGGATGGTTGCACGCAACTCTTGCATTGTCGGTGGAGGAGGGGAAGCAGTGGGCCGACAGTAACCTGTATGCATGAGAACTAGAGGACAAATAGACCAGAATCAGTGTGATGTTAGGACCGAACCAAGGCATCAATAGAAAAGATTCTTTAAGACACGTACCAGCAACAAGGTCGGAATCATCTGTGTATATATCTGTTCCCCATAGCTGGCCACCTCTTACCTGCATTAACACAAGCCAAAGCTCTCAGCAGGTAACAGACATGGGATGCTCTAAAGAGCTGTGTTTCATTGAGCTTAAACATAGATACAGATTGGAACTATAGCTATATGAGAAACTACACCATCATGTCAGTAGTCTTAAGGAAAAATTAAAAAGATTATGAGAGAGTTTTGGATGTATCTTATCCTTACTTGACGATTAGTAGCAGTAACATGCTCAGCCGGAATACGAACTTCAAGAGTGGGGCCATTATTTGCAAAATCACCACTTTTGTCAGGGTGTGAGGATTCATATTCCTTCCACAACTTAATCAGTTCTTGCATACATTCCCCAACTTTGTAAACTACAACCGGCACCTCTAGTTTGCCTGGATAATAAGTACAACATAATTCAACAAGCTGACGCTCTGACCAAATTATGCTTCGCATAACAGCACAAGAGTTTAAATTTGTAGAAAGATAAAAGTAGTAGACACTTGATATATGTTCATTAGACCTAGACCTTAGACCAATCATGAAAGATGCAGAGGTATAAGCAACTTCAAGGAACCCAAATCTGAAGTAGTATTGACGATGAAACCGACTTTTTGAATTCTATATTTGACATACTAGTGTAAGAGTAATGAACTGCAACCTAAAGACTCACTAAGAAGGAAACTTCGATATAGATTAGTTATCAAAGCACATGTAAAATTCAATGCCAATTTAACCGATTTCTTTTAACCGTCCTTCTCCACGCAGTGCAAAAGGATCTTTTCTTAAATATATAGTAACGAATGATTACCTTGTACCCTGCAAAACACAATCAAACAGAGGATTACATTAAAAGCTAGATTAGCGACTGAAAAAAAAAGTTAAGGACTTAGCCAATAACTAACTTACATGATAAAAAAATGCTTGCCAAAATGTTATTAACACAGTAAGAGAGACGGTAGAGAAGAATATCCAGAGAAAAATGAAATTTAGGTTTAAAGAGATAAGTGACACTACAAACTACAAATTTGGATGCAAAGTTTTCTTTTAAGGTTATATATCTCTCAAGTCTCAAGTCAACAACAATAATGGTAATAAGATATTCCAACAATAAAGTTTTATGGTATAATATCTATCACCGGCATATTTGACTTAATAGGTTCAAATTTCAACCAATCTTGGCATGTCTTTCTATATGGTAAGAAATTTTAAGGATTTAGCTAAGAAATGAGAGGCTACTGTAGACAGGGTCTAAGATAAAATGAGTAAAGACAGAGAAACGCACCCTTCATTGTCCTGACTCCTTGAACGGACACGGTCGCGGTTTGTGTTTTGTGGGCTTCCTCTCGGTCTCAGCATTCTCTTCCGTTGCTGAATTCCACCATTGAAGGCATCCTTTTCCCTCTCTGCAGCTCCTTCTCCCTCCAAACACCCATCTTCAGATTCCTTTTCACTGACTCTGCTGCGTTTCTCAGCTCTTTCGGCTTCGGAATCACCATCCCTCTCTCTCCTTTTGTCCTTTGATTCTCTTTCATCTTTCTCCCACACCTCCGGTTCGTTCTGCTTCTTCTGCTCAGGTGCCACGACATGTTCCTGTTCTGCAGGCTTGGAAGATGCTTCTCCCAACTCTTTCTCGTTCTGCGAGACCTCTTTCTCAGCACCAGTCCGTGGCTCTCTTTTTACATGATCTTTCTCCTTCTCTTTCTCCTTATTCCTTTCTCTATCATTCTGTTCCATCCTCTCTCGCTCCCACTTCTCTGTTTCTCTTCCAATCTCTTTGGTTTCGCTCATTACACTACCAAAAGGCACAGATCCTCTGCGGTCATTCCTATCCTTGTCTCTGTCCCCCCATTCTCGATGCTTCAGATCTTTTCTTTTCTTATCTTTGTCCTTAAATCTATCTTCGCTTTTTGCATCAACCTTGTTTTCTCCAAGCCCTTCTACATGTGGTCCCTCCACAGGCGCCGATAAATCTTTTACCCCTACCTCCGTAGAGCCTTGAGTATTACCACGAGATGCAACCCACGGCTCCACATTTGCGCTTGAGCCACCTTCAGCTCTCTTCCCTCTATGATAATCCTTCTGCTCCTTCCAAGGCAAGTGAGCATGCCCCTCCTTCTCCATCTTAACCTCACCCTTCTGTTCATTGTAATTCTGACTCTCCCTAGTATAGCTTCCAGTACTAACTTTCCCACTAAAATCATCCCCTAGACGCTCAGGCTTAGCCTCCCTATCACTCTTAGGACCTTGAATCTCCCTCTTCGTCTCACCATACACCCCTCTCCCATCATTCCTAGCATAGCTTCCGGTATTACCTTTCCCTCCAAACTCATCCCCTGATGATCTCTCAAACTTAGCATCCCTCTCTCCCTTAGGACCCTGAATAATCTCCCTCTTGGCCTCACCATACACCTCTCTCCCATCACTCCTGTTATCTCTGCTCTCAACCTTAGCACCATCTCTCGTCTCCAAGGGCACAGGTGCGTGGTGAGTCAAATGAGGATCACTTGAAGAAACCGTCGCTGGCAAGGAAGGAGACCGATACACTCCGTGAAGAGGAGAGCGTCTCTCTCCATCTCTAGGCTCACTTCTTGGACCCTTGATTCTTGATTCAACCTCGTAACCAGGAGAAGGAGCAGAAGCAGCAGCAGCAAGTGGTGGTGGGTGAGAATGGATCGAGTGAAGGTGAGGATGAGATTGAGGTTGTTGTTGTTGTTGTTGATGGTGGTGGTGAGCTTGAGGAGGTGGTGGAGTAACGGGAGGGTGAGTGGATTTAGGGTAAGAAGAAGATCCTGAATCCTCGTGAGGGTATTTGGCTGATGATGAAGAGGAAGATGGATGAGTCACGCTACCCTCTTCGTGAGATCTCTTCGGAACACCACTCATCACTTCAAATTCACTGCTCCTAGAGACAAAATTGAACCTTTATTGTTCCAAATCTTAGAGAACCTATAGAAAAGATAATGAATTTGTATTCACCAGAACAAACCAATGGAGCCCTAAAATGAACAGAGGTTAAAAAAAAAAAAGGATTAGACTTTTTACCGATAGAAAGTGAAGCAGAGCAGGGATGAGTAAACCTTTGTGCCGGAAAGTGAAAATGGCTTCGGCACCGTCTCTCTTAGGCCTCTCTCCTTCGTTGCTTGCTTTCTTGCTGATTGATTTTAGACAAATGTGTTAATCTTTTGGTTCTCGTCTCACAGACCAATGCGTTTAACCCGGAGTTTTTAGGTTTTGTTTATTGCGTACTTACCCTCATAATTCTTTAGTCTCTCGGAATTTTCCAAAACTTTATATTTCTAGAAACAGATTTAAGTTTTTTAATGATCAAATTTAATTTTTGGATGTATTGATTTGCATTAAAATGACAAATTTACAGTTATTTCAATGTATTTTTAAAATATATTTTAGAACATAATATTCTTGAATTTATTACTATAATAAAGCAATCTAAGGTTGTTGAAAGTATTTTTAATTGTGAATTTATGAGATTTTTTAAAGTGTTTTGAATATAAACAAACTAAGTTTTATGACTTTAAAGGAGTACCTATCACTCTTTTAAATAAAATCTTAATCTTAATAAATTATTCAATTTAAATACAATTATCTAAACTCATTAACAATTAAATATTCCAAAACACTTTTAAGTTCTGTAGTTAGTCACTTTAGATTCTAGATTAAATACACCCTTTAGTATCCCTAATCAAAAAAAAAAAAAAAAGCTCATATGGGCCTAACATATGTCTAAACCATCAGTTTCTTGCTTGTAGTCAAGAGAAGCAAATGGCAAAAGAGCAACCTTAGCATAACCAAAGGTGGCATCACAAAGACAAAACTGATTTACATTTGTAAGGAATCACATGATGAGGTATCATTTCCCTTGTAATATACCTGCCTAGTGATAAGCATTATAGTCGAATCATAGAAGACAATTAGTTAGGAGGTTTGGGATAAGGATAATTACGGTCTCTTTAGAGTGTAATTTCTGAAAGATCCAAACGACTATAAGCAACACATTACTGGAACTAAACCGGTTTTGTTAGTTAGTCGTCTGATGTGCAAGTATTCGTATATTTTATGTTCATGGTATGATGATTGTAATCAGGTCAATAACTATATCGATTTCATATGTTCATGTGACCAAAGTTAAGGTCGTGAAACAGAGAGAGTTGAGAAACTGTTATGAGTTCAGTTAAATATCTCATCACATTCAACAGAGACAGCTCATACAAGAAAGAAGAAAAAAAACTAAAACCGTTTGTTTGGTGTAGAGAGAGGTTGCTGTGACGTCTCTCTCTCTATTCTCCAACCAAAACGGCATGCATTTTCTTCCTTCTTTAACTTCCTTTCTCCATTCCTTACACGACATCATGAAATAACTCATCACAGTTTGTCATTTTTTCTGATGTTTGACCAAACAAATTTCTATTAACAAAGAGAAAAGAAAGTGACAAACACCCAAACCCAAAAAAAACGGTTAACAATAAAGGGGCAAAGGGTCTTTTTCATATTTCCTCCATATTCTTCTCCTGCTTTTCCTCGTTTCTCTTTTCTGGTATATGAACAAGTTCTGAGCTGTGACCATTAGACCAACAACAACAACAACAGTCTTTATACCTTCTTTTAGTTCTCTCTCTCTCTCTTCCTCTTCCTCTTGTTGTCTTCTTCTGCTTTAAGTTTCTTGTGTTGGGTTCAGAAACCGGCATTCACCTTCACTTGATCTTTCAGGTATGTCTCTGGTCTTTTCTTCATCATTTCATGTGATTACTTGATAAAAACAAAGCACAAAAGATATGATGCATTAGCTTTGGTAATCTATCAAAATCGTATACCATATATAGAACTACTTTAAGCAGTTACCTCATCATATGAACAAGTAACCACCATAAAGATGAAAAATTTAGGACATGACAAGCTCTGTTCATTTTCGTTCCTAGGATTAGTAATAGCAACAAACTTTGATATAGACTTTTGAGTATACAATAAGTCAAAGCAATTTTCAGGAAAAGCAATTTTTTTCTCTCAGAGATATCAGAATCTAGTGGTCTTTATTTTAATGGTTAATGGGTAAGTTTTGAGTACACGACTGCATTCCATTCTGAACTGCTCACATAAATTGACATTCATTGGTTTTCTATATACCTAAATTCTGCAAATGTAGAATATTTTTCTTTCTTTTTCTGATCAACTGCATGAACGGTACCATTGTCACAGGTCAGAGGCCAAAAAAAAAACACAGGTGTTGATCAAAGCCTGTTCCGTCAGAGAAAAACTTACATATGAATAACCAAGGAAGTCAGAACGTTGCAACTTGCAAGCCCGTCACTACATTTGTCCACACTGACACCAACACTTTCAGAGAAGTCGTGCAGCGGTTGACAGGTCCATCAGAGAGCAAAGTTGCAGCGATACCAGAAGCAACAGTGCTAAAAACCGCAATTCAAAAGAGGCCGACTTCTAAGCTCCATGAGAGAAGGCAATGTATGAGGCCAAAGCTTGAAATTGTCAAACCTCCTGAAAGCTTTAAACCCACTGGTAAGACCCCATCATCTAAATCTGGTATTACCAAACTTTTAACAAGTCCAAAGGGCACTCCTTCTTCATTGTTCTCTAATTTGTTCTTGATAGAAGGGGATAAAGCAGATCCAGATAGTTGTACAACAAACATCGAGGAAGAGGAGAAAGCCATCAAAGAAAGACGCTTTTACTTACATCCATCGCCAAGGTCTAAACCCGGTTATACAGAACCAGAGTTGCTTACTTTGTTTCCTTTAACATCTCCCAATTCGAGTGGCAGACCATAAATTCGACGGATTAATCATAAAGCATGGTCTCTGCCTACTATCCCAAACCTCATGTACATGTAGCGTTTCAGTACTGTATCTTTGAAAGAGAAAGACTGTTCACTTATATTATCTTAATCAAGATCTGTCTCTGTAACATTTTTTCTTCGGTTAAAACGCCACAGGCTCTTTCATCTGAAGAAATATAGCATTTAGTAAGTCGAACATACTGTTTCTTCTAGGGTGAGAAGAATCTCCGGACATAAAGACATTCATTTTCCCATCCACATCCAGCCAGCTACATCCTGCTGTCTTTTTCATTTCCTTTTTCTTCATTAGCTTCCTCAACTCCTTCACGCCTTCCCATTTACCATCTGCAGCATACATGTTCGATATCAGAACGTAATTCCCAATGTCTTCGGATTCACCTTCCAAAAGATGATTTGCAGCTAAGCGCCCCAGATCCATCCTATGATACGTTATACACGCCCTTAACAGTGTTCCCCAAATATTTTCATTAGGTTCAACTGGCATCTCTGTGACGAAAGAATATGCATCATCAAGTCTACCCCCTCGAGCAAGTAGATCTACAACAGAAGCATACTGTTCCATTGTAGGTTTTATACCATAAACCGTCCTTATTGAGTCGAATATATGCAATCCATCCTGTATTAGCCCAGCATGACAGCATGCAGTCAACAGAGTAGTTATGAAAACATGATCCGGCTTAATGCCCAAGTCCATCATATGAGAGTAGATCATAAGTGCTTCCTTACCCAGACCATGTACAGCATACCCGGCTATCATAGAAGTGAACATAACCAGATCTTTATGAGCTTCTAACTGGAAAACAGAATACGCATTTTTCAAGCTGCCACATTTTGCATATACATCTAACAGAGTCCCCTTCAGGCGGATATCACCAAGTCCGCCTCTAAGAATATATCCATGGCATTGTCTTACTAGATGCAGAGAGGCTATCTGCGCGCAAACGGGAAGGAGATTCATGACAGTCACAGTGTTGGGTCTCATTCCTCTAGCTTGTATCTCACGGAAAACATCAATGGCTTCACTAGGACAGCAACTGTCAGCGTAGATACGAACCATCAAACTCCAAGTGGTGAGATCAGTAGTAGACATCTCGCTGAACAGAAGCTGAGCATCATCCTGACTTCCACTATTAACATATCCTGATAACATTGAGTTATATGTAACCAGAGTTCTCTTCTTTGATAAAACCTGGAAAATCCTTTGAGCGTATTCTACATTACCACATTTGGCATATGCATCAAGCAATGCATTGCCAAGCATGGGTTCCTCTTCATCTAGTAAAAAACCCGCCTTAACTGAGTACCCATGAACTTCTTTTACTTTACCAACTCCCAGTACATTTGTGCAGAATTTGACTATGCTTAAAATAGTAACAGAGTCAGGAATGATTGCTCCATCAAATACGTGGTGCAAGAGGTTCATAAACTGAGAATGTTTTGGAGTGTCTGCAAAGGCATCAAGTATAGCATTCCAAGATATTATATCCTTCTTGGATATCAGTGAAAAGGCCCAATATGCTGCGCTTGTGTCACCAAATCTTGCATAGAAACTAATGAGAGCATTCCCAACTGATGTATCCTCCAAGAGATAAACATGGCGCAAAATATAACTATGGATCTCTTTGCCAGTGGTCAAATTAGTTAACTGCGCACAGACAGGGAGGATGCTGACAATAGTTACCGAATCAGGAGAAACGTCCCCCTTATGCACCAGTTTTCGAAATAACTGCAAGGCTTTAGACCACTCAAAGTTTGATGCATAACCAGCTATGACAACGTTCCATGAAACCAGATCTTTCGAACCCATCGTCGTAAACAATGAAGCTGCTTCTCCCATCTTTCCGACTCTCAAATAAAAACTCACAAGAGAATTGCATACATTAACATGAGTCTGCAACCAAGACCTCTGCACAACATAACCATGAATCTGCCTGCCACTTCCATATGCCATGCTCTTATCCATAGAAGCACAAACCGGTAAAATATTAGCAATGGTCGCATAATTCGGCTCTACAGGTTCCTTCAGCATCACAGAAAACAATCTAAGCGCATCTTGCTTCATATTGTTCTCAGAAAACCCAGCAATAAACGCATTCCATGAGACAACATCTTTGTCAGCTATACTATCAAACGCAGTATACGCATCAGGAAGAACAAAACCACATTTAGCATACATGGAAACAAGAGCATTCCCCACAAGAGTGTCTTTCTCCAAACCTATCTTGATAATATAAGAATGCAAAACCTTCCCATTGCATGGATTCCCAAGACGGACAGACACAGGAAGAACAATCGCAAAGGTAACGGAGCTAGGCTTAGGCTCATCTTCAAAGAGCATTCCTTTGAAAAACCTCATCGTCTCATGAGCACAAGAATGCGAAAGTCCAGTGAGAACAATGTTCCAAACAACAGGATCAACACTGTTAATTTGCCTGAACATCTTCTTGCAATCATCCATTCTTCTACATTTCGCATACATGTTGAGAACTGACTTTGAAACCTCATTGCATGACATATGACCAAGCTTTGCCACGCAACCGTGCAGAGCTCTCCCTGTCCTGAGCTCAGAAGCTGAAGCGCAAGCTTTGACAACATCAGATAGAACTCTGTGATCAACTCCCAAACCAGACAGAAACCTGAAACTCTGAACAAATTGTCTTAAAACTTCCATCTTTCCCCCTAAATATTCTACCAAGTCACATAATTTGGATCAGACATTTTCACAAACACCTGATGGGCAAGAACGATTTAGTTCCAATCTTCTAACAATCAAGATACAAAGCGTTGCTTTATACGTGAAACAGACATAGAGAAACTTGTAAGAACACAATCTTTATCAAGTTCCTTGTGTCTCACTCAGTCTCTCCATCGCTGCATAAAAGCAAGCGAGATTTTTAGCAGAGTGGAGTGGAGTGGAGTGGAATTATGAATGGATTGTTATGATTATAATTCAAACTAACGGGCTAAGTAAGAATATAATTAAATAGTTTAGGTCCTTAACTGCAAATTATTCTTTTGAATCATTTGGAAGGAGAAAAAAGTCCATAATAAGCCCATGAGAGTTTATATGATAAGAGGCCCAAAAGTCTAATAATACAACCCACCAAGCTCTTGCGACGCCTATGTTGGTGAGCATCTTCGTCTAGTTTCTTCAGCACAAGCATGTTGATTCCTAGTTTCTATAGTTTTCTTTAATACTAGGATGCATGGTAGATCTCTTGGGGGTGTGTTTGGAAGCTGTAAGAAGACTATGATGTCATCAGAACAATGCTGATGAAGCCGGATGCTGTCGTATAGGGAACACTTTTAGGTGCTTGTAGTGTCCATAGTAATATTGAGATAGCAAGCGAGGTACTATTCAAAGTGGGATGGGGGTTTTGAAGAAGATGATGAAGAAGGAGAGACAACGACAAAGGCTGCTGGATATAGCTATCTTGTGAAGTAGGAGTTGAAGTTCATATCTTATGAGATGTATAAGGTTCTTGCTAAGAGATCTCCATGAGAATAAAACCAGACAAGAGTTGCACATTACACAACAAAATTGTAGGCTTGGCATCTTGTTTCAAATCATGGCACATAAGCTTTTATTGTGTTCACAATAAAGTTTCTGGAACTAATCATTTGATCTTTACTCTATTATTCGGACATCTTCAACAAACTAAAGTAATAAAAGAAAAGCTCACTCAAGGAGCAAAGCTTGAATAAACGCTAAAAACCTTTACACATCTTTCTTACACCTAAAACCTTTAGAGCACACTACTACAACAAAGCTCTTTCAGACGTTACCTATGAGCAGTTGGTGTACGCGGAACAGTGTACGGCATCTGACCCATGCTCACTGGTGCACCAGGGACTGGAGCAGCATGGACTCCAAAAGCCAAGTGAGGTGGAGCTGGGAGGTTCACTGGTGTCCCAACTGCTGAGACCAACGGTCCAGTTACTGGTTGACCTATGGTGGGTGTTCCATACATAGGAGGTCCCGGTGGTGGTTGAGAGGTGGCTTGCTTGGCTGATTTGTTTCCTCCTCCAGCAACAGCAGCAGTGGAACCTGTGTTGTTGGTGTTGTTCTGACCAGTGATGGGTCCTTGAGGCGTTGAGACATCTGCATCGCCAACACTGGTGATGTCGTGAATGCTTGATCGTCTTCTCTCTTTGTTCATTGAGTTTTGACGGATGAAATACTTCTGAGCGTGGCTGGCGACTTGGGTTGGTGTTCTTGTTACCACAAAGTTACGAGAAATGCTACGCCAATCTCCTTTCCCGTACTTATGCAAACCAAGAAGAAACAACCTAGAACACACAAGAGAGTAAAGACTATTAGTTCATCAGAATCATTACAAAACCAAAAACAGAATCTTCATAGCCATAGTAACAAACATGTAAGCACACAAAAGCCTTGTAACAGAACCAGTCTCAATCAAATTAAACTCACCGCAAGATCATTAGCGCTTTTCACTAGAGTAAAATGAAGACTAAACATTAAAGTAGGATTGTCTTGTTCTAAAAAGAAAGTGGGGTTCTACAATAATGGAGGTGGACAGACTAAGTGACTAACTATCGTTTTCTCAAGGTCACAGCATGATAAACAGAATCTAGCTTTAACAAAGTGGTGGAAAAGATTGTTGAAAATGGTCCTAGTGGTTAGAGAAGATAGCATCTCCCCATCATCTCTAACATGGTGGATGCAATGATATAGCAACTAAGACATGGAGGTATTGAGAATTTTTGAAAACAGCTTTCTCTGTCACATGCCAAGTTATGATTTCAATTTAAAAATAATCAAAGACGCTTTTGAAACTATTACGAAATCATTAGAATTTTAATGCACTTATAGTTTTCCTTCAACGCATCCTCTAGAGTTAATTACCATGTGTAAATCCTCCTAACACCACAATCAATCCTTGCACTTTCTCAATAAGGGAGACCAAGAACCTAAGACTTCCTGCTAAGTTCTAGCTTCTAATCAAAACCTCCAACTTCATAAATGTTCACGAACCTAAAACTATCACTTAGAGCGATCGTAGACAAAGAATAAAGAATACTAAAGGAATGAGAAGAAGCAGCAAACATATTAGCAGCATAATTACTTGTGTTCATCCTCTGTCCAAGCAATACCCTTTCGTCGTTCTTGTTCCGACTTTGATTTACTTCCCTGGTTAGACTCACCCACATGACTGTTCCCTCCTTTCTTACTGCTTCCTCCCTCATCACCACCATGCTCATCAGGAGAACCATAATCAGGAGGTGGCACACATCCTGATTCAATCCTTCTAACATCTTCAACTAAAACCTCGTAATGTTCTTTAATCTGTTCAACACTCTTCCCCGGAACATCTCCAGCTATCTTCTCCCACTTCTCCTCTGATTCATCTGTATAGGTAGCAAGAGCTCTCTCAAACGCAATATCTTCTTCCCTACTCCACACAGAACCGTCACTAACTTCCTCAACAGTCATCTTCCCAATCAAAAACCAACTGAAATTCGATAGAATCTACCTTAACCCTACTGTCAAAATCTGAGATTTTATTCAAAGTTCGAATCTTTAAGCGTGCCCAAGACTAGCAACTAATCAGATACTCAGATCCTCCAAGTATCAGCTAAACCCAGGACGTCAAGTGATAAAATTCAATTCAAAATCCAACGATACAAGTTAACTACGGAATCAAACAGAGAATCTCAACCTTTACTGAATCCAATTCCCTAAAAGAAGATAACTTTGCAGTAACTCTGCTGAGGAGCTAAGAACAGAGCATCAGAGAGAGAGAGAGAGAGATTGGGAGTGAAAGGTTGCAACTTTGAGAGAAGGAGAGATTAGGGGTTTATTGGGTTGTCTAGGGATTGTTGCGAGAAGCTGAAGGAGAGAGGGATATTGATGGAAAAACCCAGAAGACTGTGAGGAAGGAGAGGGAGAGAGGTCAAAAGGCCAATGTTAAAAAGGGGAAGTTCAAACAAGGAAGTAAAGAAACTTTGTTAACCCAACCCATAAGCATTGATAGCTAACACTTTTTCACAGCTGTTTTAATTACTTTTATATATTTTCTTACCTTATTTTCTCTATTTAATTTTTATTTTCTTGGGTAATGCCAACTGCCAAGTAAATCTATCTTCTTTTTTTCCTAGAAATGTAAAATATCATTAACTAGAATGAAAGTTTGATTACAAAGGAAGCTTGAAATCTGATTTCCAAGTAAAGTATG